GGTCTGATCTGTGACGGTTCACACATTCTGCTGATGGCGGGTAGGGCGTTAGGCAGCCTGTCCTGAACTTTTATCTCTGTACAAAGTCTGTTGGTGATAAAGCAAGAATTCTGTACACACACACCCAACAGGCTTCTGGAAATCACGCCAAGCATTCTGTAACTTGATTTTTAATCAAAGATAATCTTTCCTCCACACTTTGTTTATATTATCTGGCTGCTGCCGCTTATCTAAAGCTTTCGACTGTGCAATAAAGGATCCCGCCACAGAATGAGATCTGAGGATTTAGACAGGTTTTAATTCTGCCCTTTGTATTTGGAAGGAAATGCGGCACTGGGGCAGAGTGGTCCAGCTGTGTACCTCCTTGGCTTCAAAGGCAGGCCAAGACAGTCTGTTGCCCTCAAGCAACTGCGCTGGGTGAGAATTGAAGAGTCCTTTGCAACACAGATCTTGCTCTCTTACTTACAAGTGAAACTCAGGTTATATAACTGAGGTTGGGGTTCTGCGACAGGCACACCTTACCTGTACCGCCCCTGAAAACAAATACACAGCAGAAGTTAGTACAGTGGCACCTTGGTCTACAAACAGTCTGGTTTGCATACGTTTTGGGTTACAAACACGTCAAACCCAGAAGTGCATGTCCCGGTTTAGCAAGCTTTTTTTTATTACAATCCTTTTTTTGGGGATTACGAACAAATTTTTTTTTGAGGCCCCATTGGCGAAAATGCGCCTTGGGTTACAACTTGTTTTGGTTTACAAACAGACCTCCGGAATGGATTATGGTTGTAAACCAAGGTACCACTGTACTGCAACATTTGTAGCAGGGAATAGGATCAAATGGCCCTTGTTACTGGTATAGACTTCCCTGAGCTTTCTCTCAGTACAGTGGTACCTCGGGTTAAGGACGTAATTCATTCCGGAGGTTCGTTCTTAAACTGAAGCTGTTCTTAATCTGAGGTACCACTTTAGCTAATGGGGCCTCCCTCTGCCGCCGCACCGTCGCTGCTCAATTTCTATTCTCATCCTGAAGCAAAGCTCTTAACCCAAGGTACTATTTCTGGGTTAATGGAGTCTGTAACCTGAAGCGTCTGTAACCTCTGGTACCACTGTGTTGTTGTTGTTTAGTCGTTTAGTCATGTCCTGCCTCTTCGTGACGCCCTGGACCAGAGCACGCCAGGCACTCCTGTCTTCCACTGCCTCCCGCAGTTTGGTCAAACTCATGCAGGTAGCTTCGAGAACACTGTCCAGCCATCTCGTCCTCTGTCGTCCCCTTCTCCTTGTGCCCTCCATCTTTCCCAACATCAGGGTCTTTTCCAGGGAGTCTTCTCTTCTCATGAGGTGGCCAAAGTATTGGAGCCTCAGCTTCAGGATCTGTCCTTCCAGTGAGCACTCAGGGCTGATTTCCTTCAGAATGGAGAGGTTTGATCTTCTTGCAGTCCATGGGACTCTCAAGAGTCTCCTCCAGCACTAGAATTCAAAAGCACTGTACTGTGTTGTATTTTGCAGGATGGAATAAACTGTTTCTCCTAGCAAGCTGATAGCTGCTGAAATTAATTCAGACGCTAGTCTTCAACATCTCTCATTGTTAGAATGTGCAGACATTCTTTATGCTGTACTTTGTATCTTGGTAGTAGTTGTACACACTTGTCCATATTAAACTCGGCAGCAATGGCAAGGCTAATAGTGTTTTTCATGTGGGCTATGAGCTGATATTACAACTCCCCAAAATGCAGAGGTTTGGTCCCCCAGAAGAATAACCAAAAAACCCCACATATTTTTTTTAAAAGTTTGCAGCCCTAGGAATTGTTTATTTTGATGGTCTGTTTATGTAGGGTTTATGCTGAGCTGTCAGAGCAGATTGCATAAAATAGCTCAGTAATTCTTACAACTTCCTGGTAATAATAATTAATAATAATAATAATAATAATAATAATAATAATAATAAATGTATACCACCCTATACCCACAGGTCTTTATACCCACCCTATACCCACAGTTTCTCTATTTCTAACTGTTTCCACCACCCCGCTGTTCCTCTAACCAAGGGGAAAATGCTTTTCATCAGATGGCTAATTCTGATATTCAGATCAATGGTACTGTCTTAGATGACACTTAAAAAGTCCCCCTTCTCAAATCGCCCTAAATATTAAGGAACAGTAGAACTCAATCTTAGGCAGGTCTGCATGTTCTGGTGCAGGCGCCTGGAACAGTTGTGAAATGTGGTTTTGGATACTATCTGTGGATAGTATGTGGAGAATCTTCATTTTAAAACACACACATAAAAATAACAGATTGGCAAATCAAATTAGAGGAATTGGTGGAGATGGCTCAATTGACTAGGAAACTCAGAGGAAACTCAAAGCAAAAATTTGCGGAAAATGGGATGGTTATAGAAGATATGTTCAAAAATATAGTACAGTGGTACCTCAGGTTAAGTACTTAATTCGTTCCGGAGGTCCGTACTTAACCTGAAACTGTTCTTAATCTGAAGCACCACTTTAGCTAATGGGGCCTCCTGCTGCTGCTGCGCCGCCGGAGCACAATTTCTGTTCTCATCCTGAAGAAAAGTTCTTAACCTGAAGCACTATTTCTGGGTTAGCAGAGTCTGTAACCTGAAGCGTATGTAACCTGAGGTACCACTGTACAGTAATAGTTTTGACTCCGTGCTAGCATTCGAGTGACAAATGAAGTAAAAGGAGGTGGATAACAATTAAGGATTTATTATGTTTTCTGAATGTATTGGAAAATTTATATAGAAAGGTCTATTGTCTTGTGTACATTCGATTGTAAGATAAAATATATGCAAAGGGACTTGACAGGAAGTCAAGCTGAAGAAAAGATTTGTAAGATAAAAGAGGAAAGCATATTTAGTTTCATTATTATCATAATTTTTGTGTGGACGAGATGGTTGGACAGTGTTCTCGAAGCTACCAGCATGAGTCTGACCAAACTGCGGGAGGCAGTGGAAGACAGGAGTGCCTGGCGTACTCTGGTCCAGGGGGTCACAAGAGTCGGACACGACTAAACGACCAAACAAACAAGACGGCAAATAACAAATAACAAACTAAATATTGATGTATGTAATTTTTATTTCTCAGTTATATTTTGTGGCAGTATGGTTGTAATTTTTTTTTGTAATATAAAATCATTCAATAAAAATTATTTTAAACACACACACACACACACACACACACACACACAGCTTTCTAGTTTTTGTGATTGTGAAAGGTTTTTAGTATGCAGACAATACCCAGAGTCCAAAAAGATAGTTGAGTAAGAGCTCAACAACTCTGTCCGGATGTTCACTTGGCAACCTAGCTTCATCAAGGTGCCCTTTCTCCACCGATTGCTCACATCAGGGCCTTCTCTGCTGCAGCCCCTAAATTGAGGAATTCCCTCCTGCAAGAAGGGAATTCTTGGCTTCTTCACTATGCAGCTTTCCAAGAATGCTGAAGACATACGTCTAACCTGCAGGAATCTTCACCCCAAGTCGGGCTCGAACCCACGAACCTGAGATTAAGAGTCTCCTGCTCTACATGTGTGTTCAGAGCCCACCCTATTCCTGTGACTGTAATCTGTTTTAACTGTTATTGGTTTTTTTAACTGTTGTAACCTGCCCTGGGACCTGCTGTTGAAGGGCTGGGAATGAGTGTAATAAATAATAATAACATACCCTCCAAGGATAAGGAAAAGCAGGTCATTCTGGGATCAAGTCAGAAACCGGGCGGCTTCTATAAATCTGGGGGTTGTCCTTGGAGAATAGGGACATGTGGAGGGTCTCTAACAACAACAACAAATTTATGTAACCTCGCCCATCTGGCTGGGTTTCCCCAGCCGCTCTGGGCGGCTCCCAACAGAAGATTAAACACACGACAAAACATCAAACATTAAAAACTTCCCCTAAACAGCCTTCAGATGTCTTCCAAAATCAAAACCAGAAACACAATAAGCAAAAACCGAAATAAATTATGCAAAATAGGTTTACAGTATACATAAAAAAAAGAAAACAGAATAATGGATGCAAAACAGTTTTCAAAAACGCAAGGGGGGAAAAAAGCGATGCCAACCATCGCGCTGGTTTCATTTGCGCGTAATTCGTACCGATTGCAGAACTGCGACCCGCACAGAGCGCGCGCCCAGGGTTTCCCAAGGGAGCCTCCGCCTCTCTCCCCCGCAGGGACGGGATTTCGGGCTGCCTCCCGTCTCCGCCCACCCGTCACCATCCACAATGCAACAACCGCCGCCTCTGCCGAGGTTTCTGATGCTGCTTCGCCGGACTCCGAGGGCGGCACACAAAGGAAGCGGGAGGTGGGAGATCTTGGCCTGTCCTTCTCCTCTCCTGGCTCCACCCACCACCCTTTCTCTCCAAGCGCGCGTGTGGACCCTGCAGTGACTTTGCAAGCGTGCGCTCTGCCCGGGGAGCGTGCATGCTGGAAGCGGGCAGATTTTGAGGGGTTTTTAATTTTTAATTTTTTTTCAAGCGGTGCGTGGGTGACAGCAAGCAAAGGGTTTCCACCCCCACCCATTCCCCAAATATATATATATTTATAAATTCACCATCAATGAATGAACGTGATTCCATGATCCCGCAGCACCTGTGAAAGGGATGTGCTAGGTGTGCTGTGATACAGGAGGAAAAACGGAGGAGGAGGAGGAAAAGTGTTGCGGTGCAAGAGCAGGCAGGAGCTGAAATCTTTGCTGCGGAGAGAGACGGCTGTGAGCTGGGCGGGCTCGCCAGCCCTCGGACGCTGCACCAAAAACCCAGGCTGCATGACCATCACAAAGGTAGGAAGAGGGAGCCTTGCAAAGGAGGGACGAAAGCGGCGCACCTGCTCTTGGACCGCGTCGCAGGTGCCGAGCATTTTGCAAGCACCAGCCCAGATCCCGCAGTTCCCCTGCTGCGTCGTGCGTCCGGCATTATAACGCACTGGAAACCGTCCGCTCGCAGAAACAAAACAAAATACGGGGGGGGGGGAGTCTTGCAGATGTCCCTGAGTGGCTTGGGGGATCATTCTTAGAAGGGTGGATCCTCCCGACCTTGCATCGTTCAGGATCTGAGGGGCGGGGCGAAATCACAAGATCAGCAAAAAATGCTTGCATGAATTTGACAGCAACATATACTTAGCTATCAAATCGTCGCCTCCCTCTACCCCCCTTTTTAAAAAATACATCTGTCGGGTTGGGTGAGTTGCAACATTCAGGTTTGCTCAGGGTAGAGGGGCGCCCTAGCTGATTCCCACCCCAGTCCTTGTGTGTAAAAATAAGAAGCATAATCCGCCAGCAAGTTCTCCTGGGCAAGGAAACGCTTTTTCAGCCTGCAAACGAATTGGCACATTTCTTGTTAAGACCTGAGCATATTAGAAGAACTGATCTCAACCCTATTTTGTTTTAGATATGTAGGGAGGGGAAAACATGAGCTCTTGAGAGAAAATAAAATCGTATTGGTTTAGGGCTGCCAACTTTGATTCCAGGACCAGAAGGCCAAATGAGGCCAGAGCCTGGAGGGATCTGTTTCACTGGGGTAGATCTCCTGGGCACGCCTAAGCTGGCCTTGGAGTTTGCTTGCATTTCAGGTCACCTGCGGCGAGTAGAAAATCTACTCCAAGTGACGAGCCATCAAATTTATTTGCCAATTGGAAGAAAGTTGGTTCTGCTTTTTCATTCAAGCTGTCGCTGTCAAGTCCCGTCCCCACCCCAGAATTCTTCCTATACGGTATGCATTTCCAAACGCTAGCCATTTAATTTAATTTAATCATTGCTTTCCTACCCACCTAATGCCAACTAACTGCTCCATTGTTCTTGCAACCAGGTGGTTAAACAATGCCCCAAAGGGTGGGTTGTTTCAGGTCTTTCAGTGCAACCTTCTTGGTGAAAACAGGCTTCCAATCTGCTCTACTGCTTGTTTGGTGCTAAAAGGATGGTAGTTACTCTGGATAAGATATTTCAGAGTCCAGGTTTGATATTGTCTGTGTGACCTCGGTATGCCCTTCTGTGCCACGGGCTTGTTGCAGACGTAGATAAGGTGGTTGACTACCACAGTAGGATAGATTTATTGCCCTGACTTTGCCCTGGGGGCCAGGGAGACTTATGGAGGATTTGCAACAAGAATATTGCTGTAACTTTGCCCTTGAGTTCAGGGGAACCTGATGAGTGTGCAAAAGGATTATGATGTTATTATTTTCAAAGGAGGTTTTGTCTGCATCTGAGAACCACATGAAGGATAATAATCGTACTCTAGTTCCATAGAAATTCTTTTGCTATGAGAATGGGTGGCTAGACTCAAAAGAGAAGACTCCTGCACTTTTAATAGTTGGCGAAGCAGAGCGCATTCCAACAGGTGTAGCGTTTGTCCATTCTAATGGGTGCTAGGTGATTTCTGAGAGATGTGGCTTAGTGTCAGTTGATCCAGCTATTAACTGTTGGGTGCTAATTACGCAGGTCTGGAGATCATAAGAATTGCTTTGTTGGATGAGATCAATACATTGTGCTCACTGTGGCCTTCTAAGTGCCTCTGGGAAGCTCATAAGCAGAGCATGAAGGCAGCAGCCATCCCTCCATGGTGTTTTCCTCCAGTGTCTATGACCGCTCTCTGGTGTTTGAGAACCATACCCAGCAATGGTTTGCTTATTTAAATGTCTAACGTTGCTTCCCCCCAGCCACGTCCGATTCCCAATGACTGCCACGAAAGAGCCATCTAGTAAAACCAATAAACATTTTCTCCAATAATGAATGAAAGTTAGGAAGCCAACAGCCAAATACTTGGTTAGTTATTTAAAAGTGAAATGTGAACTTCAGCCTTCTTTGTGTCTTGAGCTCTTGGTCATGGGCACCATTCCTTTCTCCCTTCCCCACCATTATAAAGGTAAAGGGACCCCTGACCATTAGGTCCAGTCGTGGCCGACTCTGGGGTTGCGGCGCTCATCTCGCTTTATTGGCCGAGGGAGCCGGCGTACAGCTTCCAGGTCATGTGGCCAGCATGACTAAGCCGTTTCTGGCAAACCAGAGCAGCACACGGAAACGCCGTTTACCTTCCCGCTGGAGCGGTACCTATTTATCTACTTGCACTTGGATGTGCTTTCGAACTGCTGGGTTGGCAGGAGCAGGGACCTCACCCCGTCACGTGGATTCGAACTGCCGACCTTCTGATCCGCAAGTCCTAGGCTCTGTGGTTTAACCCACAGCGCCACCCGCGTCCCTTCCCCACCATTACTTTCCCCTAATTTCCCTTCTGCTCCATCCGTTGGCAGCATTCCCTAGTTCCAAGCTTTCAAGCCTGGACTCCATTGCTTTGGCCTGCTTCCTTCACCACCCTAAGTTCTCATTTGCTAGGAGGTCCTTCTGTTCCTTTTTCATTAGTCCTGTTTCCCTGCCGGTCTATAGGATCTGAGCAGCTCTTCCTGAGAGACTTAGGGTTAGAACAATTCAATTCTTTAGCCTGACGTGCCTATCATAGCGGCTCACCTAGAGACTTCTCCTCTAAGCCACGGTATGTCAGACCAGGGAGAAGAGTTGGTGGAAGAAGACTGGAAGAAATTTAAAGACTATTTGCAGAAATATTGTAAAATTAATGAATGTTAAAATGATGTTGGATTGAAATGAAACGGCTTTAGCAATAAGGTTAGAAAGAATATGTAAAAATGGATTGATAATTAGATGAAATTACGAAGCTATAATATGTTAAGATATAGAATTAAGATAAAAACAAAGAGGGAATGGATTTGCTGAATCAATTATGTGAAATGGAATACAAAAAAGGGAGGTGTGAGGGGGTCAGGAAACAAGTAAATGAAACATAAGATATGAAAATACTGCTTTGTTTTTAATTGGTTTTTCTTTTTTCATGTATTTTGTATTTTTTCTGTTGCATTTTTGTACTTATTATATATTTTTTACTTTATTTTTATTTTTCCTTGTTACTATGTTATTTGTTCCTTTTTAATTTTGTAACTCTTTTTTGTTGGTAAAATCTTAATAAATATCATTTAAAAATAAAAAAAAATAAGCCACGGTATGTCAGGGCTAGGCTGTGGGCAGCAATCTGAGCCAGGGACCACAGAACAAGTCAGGACCAAAGAGTAAGTGGGATGTAGTGGTTGAGATGCTGGACTAGCACCTGCGAGACCAGGGTTCAAATCCCCACTCAGCCAGGAAAGTCACTGAGCGACCTGGGCCAATTCCTGACTGTCAAGAATTCTGAAGGAAATCAGCCCTGAGTGCTCACTGGAAGGACAGATCCTGAAGCTGAGGCTCCAATACTTTGGCCACCTCATGAGAAGAGAAGACTCCCTGGAAAAGACCCTGATGTTGGGAAAGATGGAGGGCACAAGGAGAAGGCGACGACAGAGGACGAGATGGTTGGACAGTGTTCTCGAAGCTACGAACATGAGTTTGACCAAACTGCAGGAGGCAGTGGAAGACAGGAGGGCCTGGCGTGCTCTGGTCCATGGGGTCACGAAGAGGCGGACACGACTAAACGACTAAACAACAACAAAGCTTTTGGCCTCTGGGGTATAGTGCTGGAACTTTCCTGTTCCATTCATTAGGCACCATGGTTTTGTGGGGTTTCCCCTTAGCTCAAATTACCAGGTGGTTAATTAACACCGAACCTTCCTTTGGGGGAGTTGAAGTATGCTCACTAGGGAGAAACACACTGGGGCATGGGAGCCCATAATAAATGTGACACACACCATAGAAATGGGTGTGACAATGTTAAGGGCAGGCCTAGGCTGTGCTTGAATCGAGGTAGATTCTCTAGCCTGGGGCCCTGAGATCAGTAGCTGCCTCCAGCAGGGCAACTAGCAGAAAAGTAGCCAAGTCAGTAGCAGAAGGCCTGGCTTCTTGTTCTCACATCAGACCTGGCCAATCCACGGGCTTCATGCGCTCTGTTAGTTGGAGAGGTTGATATTGGCTGCGTACCTGTGTTATAGATGGATATAGGACACACAGTCCTGGGTCGTTCTCTGGGACCAGGAGGTTCCTGCTTCAAGCCTTGAGGCTAAGCAGAGACCTGTGCAAACCTTTGCTTTGTGAAGTATATGATTGTGTCCTAGCATTAACCATAAGATGCATGTGGTTCATTGAGAGGGGGATAATGAAGCCACATTGGCAAGCCCTGCCTCCACCACTGACATTCACTGGGTCCACATCAGTTGACTCAGTGGAGCTCCCCACAAATACTGATGCTTGTGCATAGATCTCAGATGGGAGTTCCTGGTTGGACAGGAGCTCCTCTTTACGTGGAAGAAGTATACATGCTAGCCAAATGCACAGGTGGCATGGTACATGGCTGTTGCACATGTCAGCAGTGTTAGATATATAAGCTAGGTGCCAAACCCTTCAGCCAGGGTTACAGTTGCCAAAGCATAATGTCTAGTTGCCATTTTGGGGGCCAGAGGGCTCGAAAGCAATATTTTCCAGTAAAACTTACTGGTTCCTGAAATATAACGGCTAGAATTCTACAGCAGACCACTGGTCCTGTTAGCTAGGGATGATGGGAATTGTAGTCCCAAACATCTGGAGGGCCAGAGTTTGCCTATGCCTGTTCTACAGGATGTGCTGCTAGTGTGTGAAAACAGTCAAGATCCAAGGATGCCCAGGTATGCACCTCCAGATGATGGAGATATCAGATACCATCCTAGTGCCTGGGCATCTTCACTTGGTTGCAAGTGGCCAATAAAAGGTAAAGGTAAAGGTACCCCTGCCCGTACGGGCCAGTCTTGACAGACTCTGGGGTTGTGCGCCCATCTCACTCAAGAGGCCGGGGGCCAGCGCTGTCTGCAGACACTTCCGGGTCACGTGGCCAGCGTGACAAAGGTGCATCTGGCGAGCCAGCGCAGCACACGGAAACGCCGTTTACCTTCCCGCTGGTAAGCGGTCCCTATTTATCTACTTGCACCCGGAGGTGCTTTCGAACTGCTAGGTTGGCAGGCGCTGGGACCGAGCAGCGGGAGCACACCCCACCGCGGGGATTCGAACCGCCGACTTTTTGATCGGCAAGCCCTAGGCGCTGAGGCTTTTACCCACAGCGCCACCCGCGTCCCTTTTAAGTGGCCAATAGCTGGGTACAAAATGTGCCTGGCGAATTTTGAATGCTGCATGTCAGCCGTGAGCCATGGCCGGCCCGCACAACCCCAGATCTTCCTCCCCCACATTTTCAATGCGTGTGTATGTGTGCGCCTTCTGAACCCACCTCATGTGGAGAAGGCTAGCAAGCCACGGCCATTCGATTCCCCCACCCTGCATCTTCACCCACAAAGCACTCCACACGTGGTACAGCACTCGTGTTGAGTGTAGGATCAAGCCCTTGATGAACAGCTGTAATGTGAAGTTAATGAAAGGGAAAAGGATACTCAAATAAGTTCATTTTCATTCCTCAGGGTGTAAAATGATCGTTGTGCCGGTGGCCAAAGAGAGGCTTTGTGCGACACGGCACACAGTTGATGTTGTTAGAGCTGGCCAGGAGCTTTCCGTCTTGTGGCTGTGATTAAGGCAGGAGAGTGAAAGAGACACTGTAATCCTATATTGATTTACTTAATGCTGGCTGGTGTGACATCTAACTGGTTTAGTATCACTGGCTATGCAGAGAGCTGGTTCTCTCTACAGCTTTCGCATATCTGACATGCAATACTGATTTTATTTTCTGTTGCTGTCCTGTTAAATAGGCAGCTCGGTTGGTTAGAGTGTGCTGCTGATAACGCCAAAGTTGCAGGTTCG